TTTTTACATCTTTTTGATGCACATATCATCATTATCATCATCTCGATATTTCATAACAATTGTATAGACCTTTTCAGGTAACACTGTTTATCCGTAAGAATTGGAGACAAATATATACTTTTGGCTGACAAATATACTCTTGGCCTGTTTTATTATGCATTCAAATGTAACAAATACCATTTTTTTTTTCTTACCCCTAACTTTCTGTTTACATATCACATTCGAAATGCTGCTCAGCAGATGCAACAATTGAAATTACCATCAGTATCAGTCGACTGTTTTTGTAAATAAATTGATTTTATAATTGAATAGGAGAAGAAAAAAAAAAAAACTCGATATTATCATTCTTTTTTAATTCTCCTTACATTCATTCATATTACTTGAATTAGTGATTTTTATTGCAATTAGTGAAATCATTCTTGCAATTAGTGATTTCCACATTTAGCAACATCATCTATCATTGTATAGAGAAGCAGGAAAGGACATTAAAATTTTTGTTAATGCAATTCTTTCTTTTCTAATTCTTCGATAAATTTCATCGTAAATAATCGAAATTAATCGTTTTCTTTTTTGCAGAATTTTGCTACAATTAAAGATTTAACCTTACAGAGTTGTATACTTTCGAATCTTACATGTAACAGCAACAAAAACAGATCATTTATCATCCGTCATTTCTGCCATTAACAAATTGATGTGGCGTAACAGTGACGAAAGACAATGTGGAGCATTTGGATTCTCAGTTAGTACCATTTCTTCTTTTATCACAACATTTTACTTATCAGTTAATCATTTTCAATCCATTCTGCCGTATCACTGAAAAAGATGCTTTTTATCCATGCATTATCATCTATTGTTCTGTTAGCCACTTACGCACTTCAACAGTACGTACGTTTATATAAATATCTGAAATAGGAAACGACAAAGTAAAATATTTGAAAATTTTTAAAAGAGGTTCGCAAGAAGAATGCGTGAGAGTGCTGCATAGAGAGGGAGAGAGAGGAGATCCATTAACGATAAAATCTTTCATAATGTTATCAAAAGATTGTTTAACAGTAAAATTTGCAATCTTTAGAGTGTAACTAAAAGTATGAAAAAGCACTTCCGGCTTAAAGATAAGCCATATCCCGAGAGGGTATAAACTAACTACACTCAGTGATATTTGGTTGCGATGTTTCGTTTCGTCATTTGTTGCAGCTATACTTCGTTGATTTCTTTTTTTTTTTTTCTGTTAGTGATCGGTGATGAACTTCGTTCGTTCATTCTGTTTAACTCGTTATGACAAATATTTGTTGAACAAATGAAGCGGAATGTTTATTTTATTTGACGACCGGCTTCTTTTCACTTCATTTTTTTGAATGGAAAAAAATTTGAAAAGCTATTGTATTGACCGTTCACTCTGTTTGATTTTTCACTTCATTTCTCGAACGAAAAAAATTGAAAACTATTAACCGTTCATTCTGTTCAGCTTTTCACTTCATTAAACGGTCAATAGTTTTCAATTTTTTTCGTTCGAGAAATGAAGTGAAAAGTTGAACAGATTGAACGGTCAATACAATAGCTTTTCACTTCATTTCTTAGATGAAAAAAAAAAAATTGAAAACTATTGTATTGTTTTGTTAGTTAATTGTTCGATAAGTATAGAAATATTAGTGATTTCAAATGATGATTATATTTTTGTTTATATTTTGCTTATATTTTTGTAAAATCGCTGTATTTGTGCTAAACTGTAAATGTTTGGAATTCTGTTGTAGATATGCGACGATGGTTTTCCAAATTGGGTCCAACTTCTCTGACTAGCAGCACATCACGGACCACATCATTTACTCCAGAATCTCCTGAATCGACATCCGTGGAGCAGCTTGCCGATTCATCAATTCCTTCGCCACCAGCACCGTTCATCATCTCGAAGCCAGATATCCACTGGAATGTCGATTTCGCGTCAGATCCTTGTTCATGGGAAACCTGTTTCGATAGACATTGGGAAGCAGCCGAAAAATTGCTGGAAAATGACGAGGAAATTGATTACGAAAAAGTCAGCAAAATACTAGTTTGAAATTAAATTAATGTATTTAGTTTGAAGTTAATATTGAAATATCTAGTTTGAAATTAAGTTAATGTATTTCATACATAGGTTTATGAATTGCATTGATATACTTTAGCTATAATTTCTTCACTCAAACTTGTTATTAACAACATCAATATGTAAGTATAAGCTGTTTGCTTATTTGTAACATTATGTCTTTTCCTTTTTACCACTTTTTATTATTCCTTTTTATAGATTTGATGACGATTCCTAACTTATATAATTTTTTATAGGTATTAACTATATTTCAACACTTGAATTGCACAGTGCAGTTATTAATGATGGAAGCAAACGCCCAGCCGGAATCTGCTATTGGCCCTATATTGGATCGTCACTTTACTCACCAAATTATGGAACGAGTAGTTGACTGGGCAATTACAACTCCACATTTTTTGGCACCAACATGTCAGGTATGAAATTGCAAATTGGTTTTTATGTTATTGATTTAAATAAAAGAGAAATGAGATATCTAAGATTGAAGCTGTTTGCTAATAAACTGTTTTTGGCAGGAATAATAGTGTTGTATAGATATGTTTAGTGACTTTCGTTACGATATCATATCAGTATTATATTGATTAGTTTTCTATAAAAATAGAATTTTGTTATTGCACAGTGTTCATTCATCATATAGATGAAAAATTGGAATTTCAGTTTTGCTAAGATTTGTCAAAAAAATTTTGTAGTATTTAGGATTACAAAAAATTTGAATGTACATCTCAAAATAATGTATCAAATTAAGAGCATTTTTTCTTCGCCATAAATGTTCTACAAATGATAGTATTGTGTTTGTCTGTTTTAATAAGATGTTAGTAAAGGTAGTTTAAATTTCTCAGGTTAATCTGATTCGTCTTTATGAAATCGTTGTTGGAGAAAGTCATACACAGAATCACTGCTTGTTGGTGCATAAACCGATTCTACTCCCGTTGCTGAAATTACTGGATTGGTGTAAAAAAAGTGCAGAAAAAAGGAATTTTACTCCATCTAACACAGATAGACATTTCGTTTTACTTTTAAATCAGGTTAACATTTGATATTTGTGACATATGATCTCATTAATTGCATTCTCATTATTTAGACAGAAGTCAAATAAATTTTATTTATATTATAAAAATGTTTATAGTAAACAATATATGTTAATATATTTTTTGACACAGCATTATGTAGACTTAATATGAACTTTGTTATTTTATAAGTATCGCATGATAGCATAAATTTGTAGAATATTTAACAGTATGTAAAAGAGAAATGGGATTCAAGAAAAAAGCTAATTTGTACCTTAAAAATGTATGACTTTTCTTCCTTCATATGAAAAGCACTTAAATTTTCAGATCTGCGCAAAACTGGCAGAAGATGCGACATTGCTGCATTTCTTTTTTGATTTTGACAATGATTGTGATGAGCAGTTTTTAGTGTTCAGTTTGCTAACCCCATATCTTTATGATTTCGGTGAAGTTGGACAATTGGCTCGCGATGCATTACTTTTGATACTTTCTGCTTCGCGACGACTAAAGCGCATTGCTGCATTTATTGCTGTTAAGGTTTGCGGAAACTTTTTATTTATTAACTTCTCAATGAATTTAAATAAGTCGAATGGCATATTGCAGAAATGTTAACTATTGGGTGATTAAATGTTTTGGCGGTTATGAGTTTTTTTTTTTTTTTTACCAGAGATGCGTGTAAAGAGATTCCTGTAAAACTTGCATTCGATATAGCAGACAGTTCATCAGTTTATGGGTTGTTTGACTGAAACGAAAGAAGCAAAATTCTTCAAAACTGCCGAATTCAGTAGTTTTTTAAATTTCAAAACCAATTTTGACATTATTTAAAGCAGCTTTCAACTCTCCCCATTTCATTTTTCTTTGCAGTCGAACTTTTGTCCAGTGGTTGCAACGGGTCTTTCGGGTTGCTTTTCTCAATTATCACGCTCAGTTGGTTCAATGTTATATATAAGTGATGACTGGCATAAAATAAATGCCGATGACATCGATTCTTATTCCAGCTTATTGGATTTCCATTCGTCATTAATTTTCTGTAATGCTGTTATACAGGTCATCGATATTATAATATTAATGGAGATTTGTAAAATTTTAATTTCCTTTAAAGAAAAATTTTGTTTAGAATAGTAGATTAGTGACGTATGCTATTTTCTTAATGATCTTGTAAATAGTACATTTCTAGGTTGCTCACAACTATGTTGTATCACAAGTCATTACGTATGTTTATCACGGGTTTTTGCTTCCTGTCATTCTACCTTCATTGTTGCAGGTATCATTCATACGTGGAACAAAAAATCTAGCATTTCATTTGTCTCATATTTAAAACTTAAAACATGCTTTGAACAATTTGAATCTATAATATTTGCTTATTTACATTCATAATTTTTGTTTTGATCATAAGCAATTTCAAAAGTTTACCTTTAGTAATAATTTTTTCAGGGTGGGCAGGATGAGCTTATCTCATCAACAGCCTATTATCATCTTTGTTTGGATAGTGTCACTGAAACAGCACTTATACAAACATTAGTAAAATTACTTCTTATTGAAAGCTGTGAAGGCAACAAGAAGGTGCTTGATGTTATCGTGGAAAGGATATCTGCAGGAAATCGGGTTTATTTTATTTATAAAATCATTATCATCGTTTGATCAAAAACTCATATTTGGCTTGCATTCCCATTTATCATTATTCACCTAACGATGAAAATTTATTTATTCAAAATTATTTAAAAGTAATTTTTTCTTCATTGACTTATTGCTTTAATAAGTTATAGGGCTTTTCACACTGTTTCTGGAAGTAAGAATTTCTTCCATAAAATCCAGTAAGGTCATTAGAGATGCATTTAAATGCGATCCCCTTGCTTTAGTATTCTTATTTTTTTCAGCTCAGCCAAGTTAGTTTATCGTTGGTGAGAACGCTGATTGATTTACGATGCGAAGACATCATGTTCGATCTCGTTTTCAAGTAGACTATTTTTCCACAATTATTTTCTTCAATTCATTGCCTGCACTTTATTTCGGTTGCTTTACAATTCCATCAGTTTAAGAAGTTTAGAATTGATGAAATATTCTCAAATGACACTTGCTCAACTATTAATTTTATAGAGACTCAATTTTTTAGATACCTTATGCCTTGCACGTTTTTACAACCTAACCAAACGCTTCATTTAAAGAATCAGAAGTATGTAAGGACGGCTGCTCAAACTTTACTGACATTTATTCCTGAATGTACATATAAATCTTCAGCAGTAAGTTTCTAAATTTTCTATTTCAGATACATCCCTTTTTTTGATCTTGCTAATCTCACTTTTTTTATTTTTACTTAAATTCACATTATTTATTAACATTTACTTCAAATATATTTCAGCTATGTTCCCAAGAAACTCTTCATATTTATCTCACTGAATGTCGAAATTATGTGCAGCAAACAGCAGATGCCTGTTTTGAAAAATGGGTTTGGAGTTACGATGGTCGCATTCCTTCGTTGCTTATGCCAAAGTTAAGTTCAGATGATGAAAGCACTACTAATTATAATGGAGTGAGTAATTTATACTTTGGAAGGGCCTTCGTTATTTTCCAGTAAAGCTTCAATGTTAGGTGTTGCTACGTAGTTTTTTGAGTAGACTCGATTGGGGTTAATTTAGAATCCAGCACATTAGTTTCCAGTTCAATTTCAATTTTTGTTTTATCAAAAAAAATTTTTTTTTTTAATAAAATTGAGTCCTTATATTTTCATTCAAAAGCAATATTTCTTTTTTGCTGATAGATATTGAGGTTATCAGTTTCGTCATGTGGTTAATTTCTATTAAGTAAATATGTTTTGGAGCATGTTTTTCACACTTCATTGGTCACCTACTAGATTCTATTCTTATTTTATTTGTTTTTTATCCCTTAGTAAATTTCTTTAGACATTTGTTGGACACTCTTCAGTGCGTTCATCAATGGCTTCAGCACGAAATGGTTTGAATCGGTACTTCGTGAGCCGAACTGCTCACATTACTGCTGAAAGCTTACGCCAGCATACTCCATTACCAGAACTTGGAGAACAAGAATCGTCATCAAGAAGCAGCTTTCCATATGATATTGCAGATTCTTCACTAGTTCTGGATGATGAAGATGATGAATTGATTATACCACCTTTAACGTTAGTTTTATAAAAATCTCATGATATTAATCTCTAAGTATATAGAATATTGAAGAATATTTAGCTGGTTGTTTTTTCGATTTGTCATGTAGCTCCACTCTTCATTTAGACCCAAATCGCTTGTGATGATGACTTCATCGAGTGATTATTTTCAATTTGCATATGGAGAATTATCGGAAACTGATGCAGAAGCGATTAATCCCAACACGATCGGCATGAGTGACGCACCATCACAAGCAGTTTTAGACAAAGGAAGTTTAGCAAGCACAAATGCACATTGTGATACTGATATTGAAATGGCACGATCGTTTGTTCTGAGAGGTTGGGGAAGAATTGAGGTGCAGTTTTCATTAGAAACTTCATTATAAACTTCTTATAAATATTCAAGCAACTAAAAGAGGCACTTATAATTTCCCATAATCGTACTATTCAGTAGGTATACTTCTTGTGAAATCATATAAGTAAATTTTTAATCTTGTTCTAAACTTGTCTTTTTTTATTCTGAAACTTTCTCTGCCATTCTTGCTCTGAAAGGCGAGGGTAATTAATATCTTGGGAATTTTAAAATGTTTCCAAAATCAGTCTTGCATTCAGGATATGGAAACTTTTATGGCGTTGATGGATAGAGTGCCAGCATCGAGAATAAAGCATTCCTTGGAAGAAAATTTAGCTTTGATTGATTCACGAATTCAGTATCTTGAGGAGTTGAAAGCTGAGACTAAACCATTAGAATCGGAAAGTGATGGATTTAAAAATGATACAAATAACAACAATGATGATGACTACCCCGTGCCATTGGGGCAGCCGATCGAATGTTTTGATAATCAAGGTGATTTTTCAATAAATTGATTCTTATTTACTTGTTCTTCATCGAAGCATTCCGATGAAACTCATGTGTTATATGTCTTCTAATGTGTTACATGTCGGTATAATCAAAAAGGCAATATTTCCTTAGGAGTTTTGCAAAATTCATATATTTTTTCTTGTTTATATCCAAATTTCGTGTATGTATTAATTATTCACTATATTAACATCTATTTTTTTACATGAATAATGATACAGTTTAACAGTATCATTTCTTTTGTCAGTTTAAACATCGTTGAATTAAGATTCTTAGAGTTTTAAAAACTCATAAAGCTCACAGAGTTATATCGGGAGTAGAGGTGAAGTACTAAGCTAGGCAATCATGGTGAAAAAGTCGATGTAGGTCAAGATAAATTTTTCTTTTTTTGTGTTTGTAGATTATATATCTTTGAAATGCACAATTTTTATAAAGGTGTCGGACCTTTTCTGGAATCTATACTACGTTCCTTGGAGAATATGCTGGATAATTCGTTACATGTAACATTGCAAACAACATCGGTATTAGCGGCACTTGCGTCATATCCTCAGCCACTTATTGCTCATTATCTATTTGATCAACGCATGCTTTTGCAACCTAATGTGAAAAATTTGTTTAAGGTAAATGGGAAACATGCTTTCTGAAAATTTTAAAACTTCATTTTTGAGATTATCATTCCTTTTACTTAATTTTTTCTGAAGGTTATGGATTCATTAAAAACGCGAATTGATGCATATGCATCGTCACTTGATGGTTTTGATGTTTTGCTGGAACGAGGAATCAAATTTCTACGGTCAAGAGCTGATCGCTATGAGAAAGTAAGTTTCCTTTAGTTGATTACTTTTGAAATGGTTCCTGTATTCTATCTTTTTTTAAAGTTTTTGATATTGAAGGCCATGGAAAATAATCGGCAGTATATGTTGCATTTGCGATCTTCCGGTGATTCGCTTTCACGAAATGGCAATACAAAAGGGACAAATTCGTCGAGAGGTTTATTAAATCGGTATTTATGAATTATCTTCGTTTTGATGTTTTTTAACATTAGCATTACTGTCATTTTTTTGACAATTTAGATTTTAAGGTGTGTAGTATATTGTTATTTACATCTTTTTTTGAACATGACAGATTATTAAAACTATGCGACAAAAAGGCTTTGAAAGGTTTTTAGAGGATTTTATGGAAATTGAAGTCTAAGAAGTTAAAAAATGTATTTTTTAGATTCAGACCTTTCAGCAGTAAACGCCAGCATTCTACTAACGGTTCTGCTCATCCACATGAATTTCGTATTTACACACACAAAGCAATGGAAAGTCGTGATGTAACATTGGACCATGCTCGAGCAAAGCAATTTGTTTTCGCGGCCATCATACTGTCACAGTTTTGTCAGGTAACTTTTTTCATTAATGTAGTGCATACCACTTTTCATTGGTTAAGATTTGAATCATTTATAGATGGATTATTAGGTCTTGATCTATGCGGCTCTTTTCTTAGGATTAATATAAATATAGATGTAATATGTTATTGATATGAGCTGTTTATTTTTTGTATTTATTATTGCGGACAAAAAAGATTTTTCTGTGCTTTGAAAAAATTAGAAAGTGATAAAGAAGTATTTAGAAGTTCCACCGATTCAGGGAAAAAAGTTCACATGCTTTTTTCTTAGAACTTTTCGAATCTTTTTTGTCATATTTTTTGGAATCCACTGTCTTCTGCACTATTGGATTAAAAGTTTTTTTTAGCGTTTCACGTTTCAGTAGTTATTAAATTTTGAAATGTTGAAAAATCTAACAATGAATAGCGGAGTAATAACTTCTAGGAAAAGTAAAATTCGCATATATAAAATTGAGTTGGAAATTAGCTTATTATAGTCAATTTTTTTTTTCTAGGAATTAGCTGCTACAGTATTGCAACATTCTACTGTTGTTCCGCGGCCAAAAGGTAATTTAAACAAAATGTGACAAAGCATATTTGCATTTATGTTTCCGCTTTTTTTTGGTTAAATTTGGAAAATAGTTCGTTTTTGTGAAATATTCAAATCGTCCGGCAAAAGATTATATAGGCGGGAGGTCAACAGTGCAGGTACAGAATGCGAATTGTTTTGTTGACTTTCCCGCTTCATTTATCGATTTCTTATGAAATGTGTGTTGCATAACTGTCTCGCTGTAATAATTTATTAATTTATGTTAGAAGTTTTCTTCTTTTCCACAACAGCTATTCTCTAGTCACTTCCAAATACCTTAAAAAACTAACCATCCGAAGATTTATATGTCTCAGATATCATTTGTGACGTCATCATTGTAATTTGAAACTGCAAATATTGCAGGTACTCGTGACTCTCCACTTTAGATGCTAAATTTGTACTGATGGAGCAGCAAGTTTCAAGAAAGATTGAATCGACATTTGAAAATGTTCAAAAACTGTGTTAAAAGAGGGGAGCTAATTCAATATTAAAATTTTTTAGTGAAATTGTTCTCATCTTTACAACAAATGCTCATATATTTAGTTTTGTGATTGAAAAATATTGTATATTATTCTTCATAAATTAACAGCATGTATAGTTTTTTTGTTAGTTATGAAATTTTAAGTGTTGTTATTTGGTGATGTAACTCATGAGTGCCTTTTATTGCTCTATTTTTCTGAATTATTTTTATGATTTTTTCATTTGTGCTAAATTTGTAAATAATAAAATTCTCAGGTTTGCACGCCTTTTCTGAACACAGAAATTTTGACATGAAAAAAAATCTACGAAGATGCAAATTGCATTCTTGAAAATAACATTATTATGTAAACAACAAAAATTTATTTTCTCCAAAAAAAAAAAATCTTGCAAATAAATTCTCGGAACTTATTAACAATCTCTTAGCTATATTAGCAAGCTCTTAGCTGTTATATGCACAAAGCTCTTACTGTATAATATGTACAAGAATGAATTAATTTAACACAAATGTGCACTTCTATTTTGCTATAACATTATACATCCAGTAAATACATCTTAACATCTATGCAAATCAACTTAGTTATAAATTTAATATTATAGTAATACATGTACAGTAAACTGAACTTTAATAGTTATGTATATTTGTTTCAACGATATTTTGCATACTGTTTAGGATGTTACAATATAAAATTGCTTCTTGCATGATCATAAAAAATTGTTTGATTGAATAAATTACTCCATTTTAATGTTATTATCATCAGTTCTTATGAGGAATTATCATGATAAAGATCAAGGAAACTTTACCAGAGCAAGATCTACCATCGCTATCAAGTTGATAACCACTTTTGCAAGAGCATTTCAGGCTACCATTCTCATCACCTTCGCATATATGCTCACATCCTCCGTTTCTTTCCTATAATTTTGGCTTATCATAACATTCATATCCAAAGTAATTTCCATTTATTTATAGCAAAAAAAAAAAAAATTTCTATTCACATCAAAGTTTAACGGAAAATTTTTAATTAATTCCATATATGGATCACTTTTTTATATATATGTAGTACCGAATGATCATATAAGCTAACCTGACACGGGTCAATTACTAGCTTACATTGGCGTCCATCTGATAGTAACCGATATCCACTGCGACAACGACATCTTCATGTGGTAATTTTATTTATTTAGTTTAATGTATACTGTTGACTAATCAGCTTATAACTACTACAAAATAAATCATTTGCACCAGAAATATCTAATTAAAAGCTTAGCATTATCATATTTCGAATTCCAATCATCAATTCCTAACTGTTACTATTTGATTAGACAAATGAAAAGGTAACAAAGAAAAAAAAAGAAGGAAAAATAACAATTCCGTTTAGTTGCGATTTCGAATCATCACGGTTTGCATCATAAACTGTGATACTTCAGATACAGCAACAATTTTTGTAGAAATAAGAATTCAATTTCTTTTCTTCTTCTTGTACTGTGATACAAGCAGATAATTCGTATTTATTTATCCATTTTTGCATTTTAGAAAAAAAAAAATTGGATTTGCAATACCTGTATGTTCCATAAATGTTAACACATTCATGCTCACATTTTGAAGTCATCATTGTGCATTCGTCGATATCTGCAAAAAATTTCATTCCATTTTTGTATTTATTTTAAAATTTTAGACTGATGATAATGGTGATGATGATGATGATGATGATGACGATGAAAACAATGAATTGTTAGAAAGGATCGAATTTAAACAATAAGATAGATATGTGATTTGAATCATTAGAATACTTTTCAATCGTATGTTACCATAACATTATGATATAGTTTACAACTTTAAATGTCCAAAGTTTTTATTTATTTTCAAATATCTAACGGACCAACGCATGATTTCTGATCTGATCCGATTCTGAGACCATGATAGCATTGACATACGGCTCTTCCGTTATCATTCATGCAATGCTGCTCGCAACCACCACGATTTATCATACATGGATCGATCGCTGAAATGCTGAGCAATAGGAATAACATTTGATTGCAACTTTAAGGTTAGGTATGCAGCTTTGAGGTTAAGTACGCTAAATTTAAAATTATAATGTTGTAATGATGCAATTAATTTGATGAAAAATCATGGCATTTCCAAAACATTCTATCGTTGAGTAACTTATAGCTTGCCCAACATATTTTTCGAATTACAATTTCGGTATTTAATTTCTCGAATACAATGCAATAATTGAAGCATATTTGCAGGATATAGTCGAAAAAAGAAATAAAATAAGGCGAAGAGATATGAGGGAAGGATATCAAAATGACCAATACTGTAAATCCCTTCCTCCTCGATGGCTTATCTTTAAACATTTCTATCTTTCAAGTTTTCAAGATAATTTGAGAGAGTTTGGAAAATGCAAACTGTCAATCGTCACGTTTTCAAGATAATTTGAAAGATAAAATTAGCGTTTCATTCTCTTTTTTAAAATCGTTTTACCATTTTTTTTTTTTTTGAAAGTGATTTGCTGGGAAAATAAATGATTTTTATTTGCTCTATTTTCCCTTCGTAATGTTGTTTGTCATCAACTGGAAAATTTGAAGAGAGAGAGGGAGGACAATGGAAATGAATGAACAATTGTGTTCAGGTTGAACAATAGACAGTAGCAAGCTTAGGCTTAAGTTATATTAAATTATTCAAAAGAAGCTTTTGTTTATTATTTCCTCCTCCACCTTCCTCTTATTCTTCCACCTTCGAAATCTTTACCCTTATAAATTTCAACAAAATAAATAGCCTTAGAATGACTTTGAACTTAGAATGACTCACTGGCTTTCCAAAAATAAATTGTGAAATTTTAGTCGATTTTATGCTTGTAAAAAAAATTTGTGCAAATTTATGCAAAATACTAAATTGTTAAAATTAAAAAAAATTCTTTTCAATTAAACGAAATTTCCTCTTATCTTTTCTCATGAAATAGTTCACAATGAACTTCAAAATTTATTGATATCCAAAAGTACATTTATTTCCGAGAAACCCTAAATAATGCATTTTATAATGCATTTTATATTTAATTTTGTGAAAAAATTTCACAATTGCTTTTTTTTTTCCAAATATTGACTTACGGTGGCAACGCCGTTTATCGGCAGCTAATTTGAATCCCTGCCGACATTTGCATCGATGAAATCGTCCATGTCTTTCTTCACAGATATGCTCACAACCACCGTTGTTTGTTGCACAAATATTTCGACCTGAGGAAGATTAAAGAACTTTTTCCAATTTCAATAACTTTATGAATATTATTGTCGTATTCAGTTTGAACGATTTTCTGCAAACCACTTAGCTGAGCCAAATTTTTCATTTATGATAAAGAAATGAAGGAATGAATGTATTTATAAGTAGGAATGAAAAAAAAAAAAATAAATGCTAGTGGAAGAAAGGGAAAGAAGACAGAAAGAAATGCTATCAAATAGTTTGAAACGAGAAGCGAAATAATGATGACAGATGGCATACATGATCAGTAATTATTTTATATCAAATTTTCATATCTGTCATATAAACAAAGACTTATCTAATCATCATTAGTGATCAGTTAATTCTCGTTTAAGGCGAATTGATCATTTGAGTGACAAGATCAATCAATTTCAATCTTTTAATGACTCGATTATTTACTTCTAATAAATGCTAACAGAAATTATTATTATTTTACTCGGCCTCAATTATTATTAGTTGATTTTTACCATTACTTTACTTAATTATTATTACTTTATTGTTATTATTATTTTACTCGTTTTCTTTCATTTTATTTTATTTTTTTATCTAAATGCTTTTCTGCAGATGTTTCGTATCAATAATCACTGCTTATTGTTATTGCTCATCCATCGGTCATTTTGAATGATTCCATTTACAAGCAATTTTCATGTTTCCACTTCTCTCTTTCTCTCCCTTTTATCTATTCCTTCCCTTTCATTCCTTTCCCTTTCTCTCTCTCTCTCACATACTTCTTTCTTTTCCGTCTTTAATTTATACAATCGTCCTCAAATAATTCTTTCGGATTCTGGCAAAAAAAAAAAAAGTTCCAACACAAATAACAACAAAGAAAAATGTTCGAAAATTTTGCAAAAATTCGAAATTTAGAAAATTATGCATAATTACTGATGAACGAATGGTGCTTACAATTCATATTGTCTGTTTCAAGAATAGATCCGTAAACAGCTAACTATCATTGCGATATCGAACTGATGACAATTTCAGTAAAACAATTAAAATCATTCATTTAAATTCAAATTGTCAACAATTTAATTCTTACGGACACATCGACGACCATTTGAATGCAGCTGCATCCTTGGTGGACACTCACAACGATATCCACCTTCCGTATTCAAACATCGAAATTCGCAACCACCATTTTCAAATTGACATTCATCAACATCTGAAATATTGAATTTCAATGAACATTTGAATAACGTGCCAAATTGTCGTAATCTGTTCCACAATTTCGAGAATCTCGGCTGAATCTAACTGATTCTTCTTCAATGATCGAACATTCTTTATTTCTTCTCAATCTCTCTTTTTTTTTTGTATTTAAAAAATGTAAAGCACAGATTACCAATGCATTTTTGATGATCGCTGTCTAACTGATATCCGGCAAAACAACGACAATAAAATGTGCCGATCGTATTGACACACTCATGTGGACATCCACCATTTTTTATCAAGCATTCATTTATATCTAAAATAATATCATTCAATGTGACCATTAATAATTTCAGATACAGTTCCAGGAAACATCGGGAAAACAAGGAGAAATTTGATGTGATATTGGACTTCTAAGCTATAAACTTGCAACTGATGCATTTTACAGTTGTACTGATAGATATTTTGATATTACAGTATCATCTGGTTCAAATGATTTCAGGTATCAAATCAGAAATTCAAATCAACATCTCAAGTTCAACTTTTGTAAATTTGAAAATATAGAGTATTGGAAAATCAATGCGGATCTATTTTTATTTTAAAAAAAAGAAAACAACTGAACTAACATGTAGTAATCTTTAAAATATCCAAATAAACTATAAACCTTACCATATTGACATCGAGCACCTTGAAATCCAGGCAGGCATCGACAAATTTCTTCATTTTTATCCGATGTTGATGGTTGTTGACAGGTACCACCATTATGACATAATTCAGGTGTACAGCTTGCTGCACAGGAAAAATTAAACTTTATTCTGCTTTTTTTTTTCAATTCATTTAAAACGATTACGAATGTGACATTTTAGCTGCGCTATATTTTAATATTATTGTTGATGTTGATGGAGAAATCAAACCTTTCCTCATTCACTCATCAATTTGCTTTTAAATCAAACACATGAAATCCGAAAAAAAATTTACAAAAAAAAAAAAAACTTTGCAATAAAATTCCAGTGAAATTTCGATGCTTAATTTATTTTAGTGTGAAATAGTTTTAACGAATAATATTGTTATTTTTGGCACGGCTAACTATTCCCGAAAACATCCATTTGAATGATGTTATTCGATACTGAATTTCAGGAAATAAGTAGAAGAGAAAGGATTGATATGCTAACCTCGTTGACATCCTTCTTTATCCGGTACCTGAATCCAACCTGCGCAACATTGTGCCGTTGTGTGCCTTCTTGTGCGTGTGACATTTTTATACGTACGATAATAAACTGTTCTAAAATGTTTTCTTTTTTTTTCTCTCTCTCTCTCTCAATTATAATTAAAATCATTTAAGTAGATCTAAAAAAATGATATATAAATGATAGTTTTTTTTTTTTTTTTTTTGTAAATTATCCTTAGTATTATTTTTTTTAACAATCATTGAGAAATTTGACTCCTTTAACAATATATAATTTATTTGAAGTTAAGATTAACTGATTGATTGGTAAGAAATCAACTGATCTTATTTTGATCTAATTTGATGGCTATTAAAATATTGGTCATAAAAAAAAGCCAGTAATGATGGTTTTGATTTGTTGATCTGAACAAACCTATTTTATCCACTTCAAAAATGTTTCTGTAATAATGGAATATTATAATAAAATCGAAATAAATATCATTTCTTTAAAGGCAAACGCCTTTTAGAGTTAAAAAAATTTTAATTCCAAATATTTTCATGCCTTCTTCTTTTAAATTTTTATAAAATCTGCTGAATTACCATAAAAAAAAAATTTTTTTATGCTGTCAATTCATAATGTTCTTCTCTTTCTGAAAAATCGATCCCTCAGAAACTAACTTTATCCTTCCACTTCATCTTTCAGAAAGCCATCGATCAATTCACTAAGGCAATATAATTAATTACTCTAATTATAGGTTAGCAAAAAGGTCAATATCTCGGCACCTGTACTTCTTGCATTGTAGATTTATCAAAACGATTAATCGAAGAAGCACCTCCTGGAAGACATCGTGATATCGCTCATTTATTCTAACTGATCCAAATCACGAGGAAAAAAAAAACTTTCAATAAATTATGATAATCATTGATAACAGTTATCAGTTCTCATTTGTTTGTATTATTCTTTCATGAAAAACCAAATGTTTCTAATCATTGGAAGTAAACTTCACACTCAATTATTTCACACCCCGGAAATATAAAACTTGTAAAAATTTTTTTTTCCTCTCAAATTTTTAATAATTCGATTGATAATGGATGATGAAATTAGTTCGGTAATGGGCTGAAAATTGCGCAGAAAATTTGATGAAAGGAAAAAAGAAAGGAATAATTAGGCAAGCAAATCAATGCAATCAGAGCGAAGGGGAAAGGAAATGGAGAGGAAAAGAAAAGGAAGTTAATGAATGTTGCAGGCGGAAATGATTTATGGGTTCTCGAATTTTTAGTACAATTCTTGCTGGCTTTTATGAGTAAAACAACAGAAATACTGTAAAATTTTGTTCCTAAAATACATATTATTAATTAAATTAATTTTTTTTTTGAATTGACAAGCAGAGATGTTAAATTTAAATTTTAAGAAGCAGTAAAATGCAACCATTTCTCTTTTTATTAAGCTGAAAAGAATGCTATATAAAATTAATGTATTAAATTGGAAGCATATGCATTCATATTGAAAATATAAATAGAAAAAAATTATTAAAGAAAAAAAACAAACTTTGGTTCACGAACTGAACAAGATCGAAATTCTCCATTGCAACCTGGTTTTCGACTTCTAATATATTTTGTATAAGCTTGAACGCATGGCTCACGTACTGTTACTGTTTCAATTTCTTCATGTGGACAAACATTTAACCTAAATAAATAGCATGCTATACTATGATTGAATTATATATAATGCTATAATAATTATCTTATAACTGATGTAATATCAGTATGAAATATTTGTTTAACAAGAAAAAATGCAACGTGCGATTTACAGTGATATCATAACATATCAAGAAGAAAAATAGTGATAACATAGCATATCAAAAAGAAAGACAGTGATATTACAACATATCAAAAAAAAAAAAACAAGATAATTTAATTGCACAAATTATTTTCTTTATCCATTTCCTTATTTCAACAGTGACAAATTGATATTTTTAATTGCATGTTTAAATTTTATAAATTAAATTTTTTTGATAAAATAATAGTATATAGAATAGCTTAGATAAAATATTTATACATTCTATATGATCGCAATAAATTCATAATTACTTTGCGATACCTGAAGAATTTGAATTGACAAGGCCATAATCATCTTTTCTTCTTTTCATTCTTCTCATTTTAATAGCGATAAGTGCAACAATATTGCAACACATCGCTAACAGTCAACAAATTTATTTTAATGCGAACAATTAATTCATTTCCGTAATCAATAATTTATTTTTGTACCGCTAATTATTGAAAGGGAAAAAGTAAAAAATGAAAAAATGACATTTAACTAATTGCATTTGTTTTAAAAACATTTAACATCAATAAGACACCTTTTTTTTTGCACTTTTTTTGTAAATTTTCCTTTGTAATAGCATTTCCAATATTTCTTCTTTGTTTGCATACAATTAATTTCAGGCTTATTCAGATTCTTTTTTATTCATAAAACATCCATTTAAAAAAAAAAAATTTTGAAGATGTAGTCATTTTGAAGATGATCAATTTACTTTATTCTTTCATCATTCCAAAGTTATTTAATATTCAATTTAAAATATTTCCTGAATTTGTTCCCTATCTGATATGATAAAATTTGAAACATTTACTAATTATTTGGCTTTAACTTTTAAGCATTTAACGCTATACATTTATTTAAAATATTTCACAGCTAAGCTTGAAATTATTTTATAATATTTTATTTTGTGAAACGGCTTCGATGTTTATCTTCGAAATTTCACGGATCAATCACCAATCATTTGTTGCACAATAATTTCCATATATATATATATTCTCTCATTTAATGGATGTTTTTTGTTCTCCATTTTCATTTCTTAATCCGATCTTCCATTCCTCCATTCTGCCATTCATTCATTCATTCATTCATTTTCTTCATTATGCCACAAACGACGAAATCCACCATAATATTTTTTTTGTTTTACCTTCCGGTGATTGATGACCCCAATCTCAGATTGTTTTGCTTACTACGAAAAAAATCAATCTTAATCAATCACAATTTCGTTTTTGTTGACTAATCAATTTGATGTTTATTTTAATAGTTATTATTCAACAACAGATACTGTAACTATTTGAAATGTTATAGACAATATAATGATAATGCAACTATGAATTGAATATGATCAGTATTGAATTCTGGAAAAGAATAAAGTTTTGTAATTTGGCATTAAAATTATAATTTTTTAATAAAATTTTGTGATTTGGCATTAAAATTATAATTTTTCAATAAAGTCTTAGTTGCAAATCTTTTTTAGTTTGTTGCTGTCAATTGTTAAATTTTACCGTTCATTTTTATTGCATTTTTACTATTCGCATATAAGTTAAATTTATGTAATTAATTTGACTAATTTTGCTGCTATTTAATAATTAATTCATCAAAATTACACTTATTTTTCAATCATTTTTTCTTCACGCATTGATTAAAACACGATAAATTTTATTATTTTTTGCTTGCCCAGGAAATAGTTTGAATAATTAGCAGAGAATTTTTAACAATAAGAATGAGCAAGAAAACGAGGAAAGATACTTTGATAATAACAAAATTAAAAGGATTATTATACAAACTATAATCTCTTTTTTGAATGTTTTAAAAAAGCCATTGCAAGACTGTTAACTTTCGTTAAATCCTTTTAGTTTGTAAGGAATTAACTGTCATCTATTTGTAAAAGGATTGAGAAAATCGACAAATGATAATTTTACAGTGGTTTTTTTGGGAATAACCTTATATCCAATCGTGCACGTCATTTTTAAAGCCTTACGCACGTCATTTTTTGAACCTCACGTACGTCAATCTGCGTTTTCTTCAGTCAGTGCTTGTCTACTACTAAATCTGAGTGTTACAATGGAATGAAAGAATACTGTCAAGTATAAAGCAATTTCAAAAATGTATAAAGCAATTTCAGAAATGCAGCACATTATATATTTTCTTATTCAATATTAATTAATTAATTAATTAATTAATTATGCACATCAACGTTAGATATAGAACCTTTTCGTAATAAATGAAAAATAATTAAAATGAAAATGCGATGAATATAAAAAGATATGGTCAATGAAGATTTTTACTTCCTGACAAATGATTGTTATTACTTCCACTACCAAAGAAATTAAAATCCTTCTCCACAAATTTTCACTTTAAATTTTAATAAAATTTTGAAGGCTACTTTAAAAGTAACCTTTATAATCTATTTTTGATGCTTACTGAAATAGTAAATTTGTGCATTTTTTGTAATCATTCTTCTTCGTCTTCTGAGAAATTTACCTATAATCATTTTCAAAAAATTAATTGAGAATATTGTCAACGAACTGATGGTAACTTTGTATAATTTATTAATGGAAACATTTAAGTTCAGGAGTGAAAAAAAATGAAGTTGAGAGTGTTGGAATTATTGGCAAAGGCAAACAGTTTAGATTTATTTTGAAGAGGCTGAGAAAATGCTTGAAAATTTTCACTACCAAAATAAAAAAAAATTCGCATTTTGAGAAGCGATGATCCACTGGTGGATAGGACATCTTTCTTACTTTTCCAATATTTATTACTGGCATATAAATTAAGTATATTGATTGACCAATTAAAACTTTACTTTATTAACTCTATCTCTCTTATCTATCCTTTCCTTTTCTTAACTATATCATCATGATAAGTTGAGAAAAGATTAATGATGAATGGATTGATTCTTTTATCTCGAAAAAAAAATGGAAATAGTGATGCGATGGTAGTAATGATGATGATGATGATGATGATAATGATAATGATAATGGTAGTTCAAATGTCAACAAAAATTAACAATGCTAGAAGGGGATAGGTGACAGGATAAGGCGAATAAAAAAGAAGCGATCTGTTTAACAATCTTCTTTATCATGTATGATTGCGCATTGAAGCACATAAAATTGCTCTCCAATTTATTCTTCGATTTTTAATATTTGCATAATTTCGAAGGAAAAAAATCCAAAAAAAAAAAACCAAACAAAATTGTATCAAAAATTGGATTTTGTAAGGATCAAATAGTATGTAAATATATTCATAATAGTTTTATTAAAAGCATTTTTTCTTTGCCTTAAAAATAATTCGAACAAAAGAAAGAAAATGAGAAAAAAAATGAATCATTTCAAGATGCTCATCGGAGAATATCAAACAATTACAGCATTTTCTTGCATTATTTAACTGTCATAAAATACCAAATGAATTTTTAAGTATTCCAGAAAAAAATTCAGTGTCAGAATACAGTAAGTGAACGATTCGATATTTTTTGATAACTCAGCATCAAATTCACTTTAACATGAATTCTGCTTTATTGATCAGAAAAGTTGTAGGAGAAAATGAATGAAATGTTTTTTAAAAAAAAAAAAATGAATAATGTGATATGTTTTAATATCTGATAGCATTCTCTAACGGATAAATGGTATTGTTGTACTCACATCAAAATATGATAGTTAAATGATTTGTAATTTAATTTCTTATTTCGCTCCAATTCAATTCCACTCAATTTTTGCTTTAATTCTAATTTCTATCTTTCCTTGCATCCTGATCTTTGCATTTTTTGCTTCATTTTTCTATAATTTTGAAAATTTGGAAATGCTGCAGAAAGCTGCAGAAACTGAATTGAGCAATTGAAACAATAAAAAATAAATAAAATCCGATAAGAATATTCTATTTTGCTTTTTAATGCTCACGCAAAAGTAATTGTTTAGGTAAGTGATTGTTTATGCAAAAGTATATACCTAAATAATCGTCAATGTGGCTGTTAGAAAAAAAGCCAAATTTATAAATTTTTGAAATTATTTCATTTTGCCGTACGCAAGAGAACGTCATAGTTAGTCTGAGAAATCTAAAAACAAAAAAAAGTGAAATGTTTCTATTTCACTATATTAAACAAGAATAAAAATTGAAAATTGAAAATAAAAATTCAAAGATTCCATGCAATTTTTTTTCTTTTGCATTTATGAAAAGAAAAAATTCAGAAGTAACATTATAAGTATCAGACTAATTGATGTTAAATAAGTGGATATTTGTCACAAAAGTGCTAAGAAAAGAGGTTGAGGTCAGATTTTGTGTGAGATAAACATTTCGGTATCTATTATTGTATAAGGAGGAGAAGGAATAAAAAGGATAAGAAGAAGAGCAATGGAAGTCAATTTTTTTTTAATCTCTATATATTTTGCATGATGATGAATGATAGTTGATGACAACAACCTTTGACCTCAAGTCCATAAATGTATTACATTACCAGCAAAGCGGATAATCCACAAAGACTGTGAATATGAAGTGTTGGTGAATTAAGCAACCTGAACGGATCTAATTTTTTTGAATCATCACATTCATCAACCATTCCTCTAATCATTTGAAATTACACTCTAAAATGAATGCATATTGAAATGCTTTAATATAAGTTGAAACTTTTAGGTCAAATTACATGAAATTTTCAATTTACCATAGGAAAGGGAAGCAATCCTTCAGTCGCTGACCTTCAACTTTCCATAAATCAATCATTTGATGGATGTTTCCGTGAGGTAGCTGTCTGAACGCAATTTAATTTTTTTTTTTTTCAACAAAATCAATTACAACTTTGCAAACAATCATTGTAGAGGAGGATCAAAAAGATGAATTCTTATCCTTGCATATTTACAAAACTTTCAAATAATAATTAATCATCGTAACTGAGAGAAATGATTCAATTCTGACAAATTGGACTAAATTAGATGTTCAGATCTTAAAAAATTCAATCCGAGTATAAATTCTTGGTAGAACTATAATAAACTGTGATGATACATTGAAAGATTATGTCATTTATAAGCAAAAATTACCAAATCGAAATTTATTACATAACTGTAAAGCTGTCAAGTTGATTTTCTATTATCAGTTTTCCTCATTTTTCTGTCATGTCAATTCTTAGCAATATTCTAATTTGACTTGAAGAAAGGAAATTTTGTACTGTAAATAGATGTATTTCTCATAA